CAAGAGGGAGTAGAAACTGGTTGCAGGATAGAAAAGGAAGTAGGGGTAAAGAAAAAAGGAGGAGAGAAGCAACTAAGTCTGGGTGGGCTGAGGTCAGAGACAGATTTCTGGATAGTGGATTAGAGGCCCTAACTCCCCTACATGGAGAGAAACAAAAGATTTTTCAAAGTTCTTTTAAGTATGCAAATAAAGAGGGAAGATTCTTTTGCTTTGAATTTCCTCTGCAATGTGATTTTCTTAAGAGATTGGGCCAGTGGTCTGTATAGGAATTAGAATCATACTAAAGACAACCTAAACAAGAAAGAAATATGATACTCAATTCTATATTATTTTTCTCTACTGAACTGAATTATCAAGAATTTTGTACCTGTTCTAGAACAGTACACATTTACAAATGTAATGTTTCAAAGTGATTATACAACATAAGCATTTATGGACTTTGTAATACATTTTAATACAGAGATGTCAATTTCACTAGAAAAGCCTGGAAAATCTTTTTTAAATTGATTTTGATTTTAATCTTTCAAAGAAAAAGAATTATTTTAAATGGAGAGATTTTCAGTATTCAAAACATTGAGGTGTCCTTAGGTTTACAAATATGTATACACTAGAGGCCCAGTACATGAAATGTGTGCATTCAGGGGGCCCCTCAGCCCAGCCTGTGCCCTCTCACAGTCTGGAAGCCCTCGGGAAATGTCCAACTGTTAGCTTAGGCCCACTTCCTAGAGGTGGGAGAGGCTCCTGCTATTGCTGCTATGCTCACCAGCCATGAGCCTGGCTTCTGGCCTGTGGGAGCACACTGACCACCAGGGGGCACCTCCTCTGCTGAGCGTCTGTACCCTGGTGGTCAATGTGCATCATAGCAATGGATCATTCCACCATTTGGCTGATTTGCATATTAGCCTTTTATTACCGTATTTTTCGGACCATAAGACGCTCCGGACCATAAGACGCACCAGTTTTTAGAGAAAGGAAATGAAGAAAAAAAGATTCTGAAACAAATAGTGTCCTAAAATATTTTATGTGCATTAAAACCCAACATCACAGTCATAAACACATGTAATCAACCCTGTAAAGTAAACAGCAGCATTTAGAACCATTTTAGAGCCGGGCAAGCACACAGAGACCACACAGAGCCGGGCAAATAAAAAAACTTTTTTTTTAAAGTATATGTGTAGGCTATATTTGGACCATAAGACGCAGGGACTTTTCCCCCCCACTTCTGGGGGGGGAAAAAGTGCGTCTTATGGTCCGAAAAATACGGTATATAGGATTAGTTTTTTTGTTTTTTTTTTTTGTTTTTTTTTTTTTCCTAAGTAAGTAATTCTGCTGTGAAGAAAGTCAGTAAAGGGGCTACAATAATGATCTAGTTGATGTCACATAATTTAAAATAATCATATTTCAGTTTTGACATATACTCAATTCAATCCCAAGTTATCATCTAAAATCTCATCCACAGTTATTGTCATTTTATCGTATTAGATCTATTTACTTCTACACTATTTTACCATGTAGACAATGAGTAAAGAAGGGGACATTGTGAGAGAATCCAAGATGGCTGCTCAGGTAGGCAACTAGCCGCAGCCTCACACAACAATTCAACAAAATACAACTAAAATATAAAATGGACATTACCCAGAACTACAGGAAAGTCGACTGACTGGAAATTCTACAACAAGAAGCAAGGAGAAAACCAGAAGGAAGCGCGCAGGAGCTGTAAAAGCCCAAGGTACGAAGACACGCGGCGCACGGAGAGGACAGAGGCAGAGAGGAGGGAGGCCGAGTGCCTGGCTGGCGGTCCAAGTGGAAAGGAGAGAAAAGCTCCGACTGTGCTGGGCCCAGCTCCAACTGCTCTGAACCCCAATTCTAGGCCAGACCCCGGGGACTCAGGCTCATCCATAGGGAGCCGGGCTGTAAGGCGGGACTCCGGGGAAGCGGTGAAAGGAGGTCCCAGAGGCACGCAAACTGAGCGCAGTGAAGGGCCGACTGGCTGCCCTGACGGGAAGGAGACAGGGGTTCCAGACTGCTCTGAACGCCACCTCCAATCCCACTACCAACTGAACTGAACCCCAATACCGGACTCATTGGGGAAGAGCATAGACAGTTTGGCAGCAGGCGAAAATCGAGGACACCTTTCTCTCAGAGGCGCTCGCAACAAGTACTGAAGGACCCTGAGTCTCAGGAGTCGCATAGGGCGGGGCTGACAGAAGCCAAGGCTGTAGGCTCCACCCTGAAACCCCGCCCCATCAGGAAAGCTGCCTGCGAAAATGCCTAAACCAAATAGATCACAAACGACAGAAATGGAGGACAAAAAGTGACTGGATATAGAGTTCAAAACCACACTTATAAGGTTGTTCAAGAATCTCCTAGGAAAGGCCGATAAAATAAACAAGACCTATGAGGATATGAAAAGGGATCAACTAGAAATAATAAGGGATCAACAAGAAATAAAGAATACATTGTCTGAAATAAAAAATATTTTATGGAGTCCTAAAAACAGAATGGAAGATCGCAAGAATCAAGTCAAAGATTTGGAACATAAAGAGCCAGAAGACACTCCTCCGCAGACACAAGAAGGCCAGAGAATCCAGAAAGTTGAAGATAATGTAAGAAACCTCTGGGACAACTTCAAGCAAACCAACATCAGAATTATGGGGGTCCCAGAAGATGAGAGAGAGCAAGATATCGAAAACATACTGAAAGAAATAGTGACAGAAAACTTCCCCCACCTGGTGAAAGAATTAGACTTACAAGTTCAGGAAGTGCACAGAACTCCAAACAAAAGGAATCCAAAGAGGACCACACCAAGACAAATCATAATTAAGATTCCAACAGCAAAAGACAAAGAGAAAATATTAAAAGAAGCAAGAGCAAAGAAGGTAGTTACCTATAAAGGAACACCTATAAGATTGTCAGCTGATTTCTCAACAGAAACCATGCAGGCCAGATGGGAATGGCAAGAAATATTCAAGGTGATGAATAGCAAGAACCTACAGCCAAAGATAATCTATCCAGCAAAGCTATCACTCAGATTTGAAGGTCAGATAAAGAGCTTCACTAATAAAAAAAAGCTAAAGGAGTTCATCACCACCAAACCAGAATTATATGAATTGCTGAAGGGGGTTCTTTCAGAAGAGAAAGTAAATAAAGATAAAAGTTATGAACAACAAATACGTAACTATCAACAAGTGAATCTAATAACCAAGGAAACCAAAAAAAAAAAAAATCTGAGGAACAATATTAACTGTTGAATATAATAGAATCAGAGGTATGGAAGGGGAGTGAACTGTTTATTCTTGGGGAAAAGGGGAGAGGGGGATGTGGGAAGAGACTGAACATAAACTGTGCACCTATGGATGAGGACAATGGGGGGTGGGGAAAGGGCAGAGGGTGGGGTGAGAAGGGGGGGGAAAGGAACATTTGTAGTAATATGAACAATAAAAATTTATTTAAAAAAATGTTTCTGAGATTAAAAAAATATAATAATAAAATAAAATAAAATAGCATCTAAAAAAAAAAAAGAAGGGGACATTGTAATAGTAAATAATCAATGTCACAGTTCACATCACCCTTTAAAAATATAAACACATTGGTTCAACCAACATTAGAAGCCACCAAATGCCATCATTCAGGAATAGTTAAATTGACATCGAATGTGACATTAGCTCTCCTCCATGGTATCAATTCCATGGGATGATTAAAGGAGTGGGAACTTCCCAGCAAGCCAGATTGCTGCTTTTGTCCTGGTGAGATTGCTGCTTTTATCCCAGACATTTCATTATAATTCATTATAATGAATTCACAGTAAAGATTCATAAGAGTTGCATAGCAGCCTTTTAACTTAAAAAGCTCCACTTAAAAAAATACCACCTTATTAGAGGTGGTAGAATTAAGTCTTTAGCAAACATCACAAAACTGATTGCATGGTTTGGATTGAAAAAATAATCACCAATTTCTTGCCAAATATTTTCACTTTTAAGTTTTCAATTAAAACATACTTTCAAAGGAAGAAAAGTCCCATCTGTGATTCTGATTCTGATTCATATAATGTTAATTCACCTAAAGCAACAATGCTCAACCTTTTTCATCTCATGGCACACATAATGCAATTGCTAAAATTCTGCATCACTCCAAAAGATGTATTTTTTTAGGCAAAATTTTGATTCGTTTACTCTGGCCAGTGATTGTTGTATTGGCTGTTGTCATTTATTATTATTATTATTCAACAATTTAAGAGAGAAGAAGGCAGTGCCCCAGACAAAATACTCAGGTACTGTATGTTTAAAAATTCTTGTCACACCAGCTGATCTAAGCGGTAAATTATAAGACTTGTTTATTGTTCATAAAAATCATCTGCTGTCTCTATTGTTTATGGTTGTGATTATTTATTTTGCTGTATAAAGCCAATTTTCATTCCTTACTGAAAGCTACAGAAAATATTTGATGTTACCTGTAGTGATTAAAAAAGGTCTAGGCCTCCTTTCCTATTAGCAATCCAAGGCTTCTAAACAACCCGCCCCACTCTGCATCCTCTGAGGTCCAACCAGGGGCAGTGCTCAGTTTTGAGGGATTGTGCCAGGACCCTCTTGCTCCTCAAGGCTGCTGCTAATTGCCACCTGGCAGAGTAGGGCATAAATGAGCACCAACAGAATGAAGTTATTAATTATATGTGTTTTGTCTGCTCAAAAAGAGGCTTGAGACTCAAAACTATAGATTCCTGCTTCAAAGACCTCAAGGAAAGCAGGCTGGGGGAGGCCTGAGGCTTTCACCTCCGACAAAGTCTCTGCGGCTCTGAATGGGCTGCAGGCTCTGGGCCACAAGGAGCTTACACCAAGGAGTTACTTCTGGGGCAGCTTTTCCCGCAAGCTGAGAAGTGGTACCTCAAGTAAAACTAACCCAAGCTGCAAACAGATACATTTGAATTTGAAACCAGAGTAATTAGAACAAGTTGCAGAATTTGAAAAGGCAGAACTGACATCTTCCACTAAAAAGCCCATCATTCCCCCTAGCAATGGGCAATGAGACATCTGATTGGTGGTGTTATTCTTATATCAATCAGGGGCAAAGCAGATGTACAGTCCTTAGTTCATCTGTGTTGGTGGCCAGGGCTGTTTCATGCCTGAGGCACATTTCTAAAAATTAAAATAAATAAATAAATAAACAAACAAACAAACAAACCTGTCATAGACATCATAAAGCCAAAACCTGATTCACTTTTTAAAAAAAGTGGAAACAGGGAAATTTTAAGACTTTAAGAACAAAATGAGAAATTGAAGTTAGGGCTGAAGACCATTGAAATGCAGGCTATAAACACATTGGATGAAAAGTCAAAGCTAGAAAGAGCATGGCGTGATTTACAGCTTGACTGAGGAAATCTAAAGGATTTTATAGACGCCCAAGACTTGAGTGGAAAACAGAATTGCCACTTTAAAGACTGGCTTTCAGAAGACACTTGAGACAGAAAATCACAAGTGTCTGGTGGAGAATCTAGTGACAGCCAAGCATTACCTACCCCGAATTCAGCAGCAGCTGAGCATGGCTGAAAAGGAATTAGAGAAGAAATTCCAACAAACAGCAGCCTATAGAACATAAAAGAAATTCTAACCCAAGAAGAATCAGAGACCTGAGAAAAAGACTGGCAGAATATGAACCTGAAGATTCAGAACTAAACATTTCATCTGCGAGCTGCCATAACAAGCTATTCTCACCTCAGGCATGTATTTTGAAGAAGCTTGTTGCATTTCCTCTCTTTATTTTTCTAATATTTAAACTTTGCTCTTACTATTTAAATCTAGCTCTCCAGTTTTCAGTTGCCTAACTGAGAAGAGAGAAAATCTGGCTCCGGTCAGTTGTCCCAAACTCCTCTTTGCCAAGTGCTCCTGAGTCTTGGTTCAAATGCATTGAGAATCCCGTCAGTATGGAAGAGATTTTTAGAGTGGGAAGAAAAGTCTTATCCTTTTGCAATAGTATAAAGAGTACATCTTTTAAATATATATATTAAAGCTAGCAATATTTATACTTGTGCATTCCCCCAGGTATATATAAATACAGAGTTATTGAAGATAGTTATTACAAATAAACTTACGTTTTTAAAAAGGTCTAAATTTTGGTAGTTGATATTTTGATTAATTGCAACAAAGAAACTGGTGAATGTGGAAACTTTTGAAACATTACAAAGAAGATATAGAAATCATTCACTTTTGTTAGGTATTTTTTCTCTACAGAATAAATAGATTATTTAGTAGAATCAATGGGGATAAAAGATAATTTTGTATTATCTGAGTCTGTAATCTCTAATACCAGAATCTTCTTTGAAAGTGTTCAAAAATATTATGTTGTCAATGGATATATTGTGTCAACCTAATTCATAATGTAATATAATATTGTTTAGTTTCATATTTTATCAATAAATTACTGCATAATTATACAGAGAAAAAAAATCTAGCTATAAACTAAAATGTTAATAGTGGCTATTTCTGTTCTGCTTATCTTTACTATTTGTTTTGTCTATTTTTGTTTGTTTCTAAATTGAAGATGTGTAACATAAATTATCAATTAATAATATTTATAGCTCATAGTCATCTACATATTAAAACAGCCTAATAGAAACTAGATTAAATTTTTTATATATACTTTAGAAATCAGGAAACAGATAGATACATTGTAAAGATCTTCAGATTTTTCACTATTTATGACATTTTAGATGAGGAAATGTAAAATGCTTAAAATTTGCTTGAAAATTGCAAAAGATAAAACTGGAAAATAATTTTATCAAATAAGTGATTTGCAACATGGTGGAGGATATGTCATGTTTATAGGCATTTGATATTTGCAAGTTTGGTTTTTATACCATCTAAACTTCCCTGTTATAACTTGTTCCCCCATGCCTTCTGAACTCAGAATTTAGAATTTTGTGCCAAAAGACAAATAAACATTTCAGAATTTCCCTTTGCACTTTGCTGTGTTATTTTTAAAGCAAATATAAAACAATAAAAAAGAATGTTTTGCTAGTGATAAAAGGTATGTCTCTTAAACTTAATATAATTGAGATAATGGTTATAATCATCAGCTATGCCAAATGTGAGAAAACTTCAGACAGCCTTAAGACTTAAGATTGTCAAATGTGGATTTAAATGTGAATTAAAAGTACAAAATTAAAGCATAGATACAAAAGCCTGGATATGTCATCAAAGATCCTAAGAGGTGAGGTATAATTAAGGAAATTATTATAATCTTTAGTCATTTCAGTAAGGAATCTTTTGTATAACATGTAAACATATTTTCTGACTTACCTTTAAATTTCCCTTACATTTGCAAATAGGCTCATAACAATTTTGCTCTACTGCGTGTTGAGCACTAAATTGTCTTTCCACTGTTTTGTAAGTTAGATATTATTTGCTCAATTTCACAACAAAGAAACTGAGAATAAAAAACAAAACAAACAACAACAAACAAAACTTAAAATATTATTTAAGATCTAAATTTCAAGATTTAAACCGATTTCAAGAAGAATCAATGAAATCAGGAATGAACTATTGAACATCAAATCTGAAGGAATTTTCGAAGTTATGTAATCCATGTTATCTCCTTGTGTGACTAAAGAATTAGTGGGTCAAAAGATATAAAAGATAGGGTAATTCCTTCTGATGGTTAATCTGACCCTTTAATAGCAACTTCTTGGGTTTTCACCAACACAAAAGTGCTATTTAATGAAGAGATATACTTTCAAGTCTACATATCCTTCTTCTCTTACTTCTATTCTTTACATCCAAGGAATCCAGCAGCTGTTGCCAATTAGGCTCACCACACTCTTTCTGGGGATCCCTGCTGTAACACTCTCTGTTAGTGGAGATCAGGAGCCTATGGCTGCTTCGCTAACGTTTAACCTCCTCCCTGCCAGGATCCAAGCATGATCTATTCACCCCACCACGGAGATCTGTAAGAGTAAACATATATGCAATCAAGGTTCCAATGGCCTGGTAATCAATGGGCAAAAAAGTCACCAAGAACACAGAATAGTAGTTGGCACTTGTGCACATTTTCTTGGCTTCCAGATGTGAAAGGCAAGTACTGTTTTCCAAATACTACCTACAACTATTAATATTAGGAGTTATTAGGATGTTGCCTTTTAGATGCAGATGGAAATGACTAGTAGGTTTGAAGTTTTAGGAACAATTTAGGAAAAAGTTATTTCTTATTCTTATTCTGATTTTTGTTCCATGAGCTCTGTACAACATTAGACATTCTCATGTAATGATGTTTATTTAAGTTTGCATGTTATGGAATGAATATATTTTTATTTGTTCTCTGTATGTTTATATAACATATAATGAAGTGTATATACTGTATATATACACATACATATATACAGTATATACACTTCATTATATATACACATACATATATATATATGTATGTATGTGTATATATATATATATATACTCATTTTAGTTATAGATTATTTAACTAATTTATGAATATTAATTAATATTAATCTGTTGTCTTTGAAAACAACATGAAAGAGAATAAAGCATTGACTAAAAGTAACTAAATAAAAGGCAAAATTATATTAATATTGGCATTTTTAGTGTAGTGATATTTTAAATTATATTTTTTACTTTTTCTATTTTTGTCATTGTCAGTGAGGCCAATGCTTTGATATCCATATGCATTGTCAAATGATTATCACAGTCAAGCTAATTCACACATAGTTACCTTTTTTCTTTGGTGAGAATACTTATGATCAACTCTCAGCAAATTTCAAATATAAAATATAGTATTATAAACTAGAGTTACTATGCTATAAAGCACATTTATAGGACAGTCATTTTGTATTTATTTATTTATTTATTTATTTTTGCTACTTGGTTGTATGAGCTCCTTATATATTTTGGATATTAACCCCATATCAGATATATAGTTTGCAAATATTTTCTCTCATTCATAGGTTGCTTTTTCATTTTGTTGACTGTTTCCTTTGCTATGCAGATCCCTTTTAATTTGATACCCTATATATTTACCTTTTTATTGCCTATGTTTTTAATGTTATATCCAAAAATCATCCTAAGACCAATGTTAAGAAATTTTCCCCCTATATTTTATTTATAATATTTTTTTATAAATCTTTATTATTGAGAATATTATAGGTGCCTTCCTTTTCCCTCAATTGCCCCAGTCCATCCCATTGCTGCCCCATCCAGGCCTTCATGCCCCTATTGTTTGTATCCTAGGTAATGCATTTATGCATATCTTCTTTGGTTAATCTCTCCCTGCCCCCTTCCTTCCCTTTGAGATTTGTCAATATGGTTTATGTTTCCATGCCTCTGGTTCTATTTTATTCATCAGTTTATTTTGTTCATTAGATTCCTTAGTTAGTTTGTTTTTATTTTTAGATTCAATTATTGATAGCTATGTATTTATTGCCATTTTATTGCTTGTATTTTTGTTATTTTTCTTCTTCATCTTTTTCTATTTTTTTTTTTCCTTAAAGACTACCCTTCAACATTTCATGTAATACTGATTTTGTGGTCATTATTCCTTTAACTTTTTCTTGTCTGTGAAGCTCTTTATCTGACTTTTATTTTGAAATTATAGCTTTTCTAAGTAAAGTAATCCTGGTTGTAGGTCCTTGCAATTTATTATTTTGAATATTTATTGCCACTCCCTTCTGGCCTGCAGTTTCTGTTGAGAAATCAGCTGACAATCATATGGGTGCTCACTTATAGGTAACTGTTTTTATCTTCTTGCTTTTAAGAGTGTCTCTTTGTCTTTAACCTTTCACATTTTAATTATGATGTTTCTTGGTTTGGGTATCTTTGGGTTCTTCTTTGGAATACTCTGCACTCTTAAGACTTGTAAGTTTATTTCTTTCACCAAGTAAGGGAAGCTTTATATCATTATTTCTTCAAATAGGTTTTCAACATCTTGTCCTCTCTCTCTTCTCTTTCTGGCACTCCCATGATATGAATGTTGATGTGCTTGAAGTTGTCCCAGATTCTCCTTACACTATCTTCATATTTTTCATTTATGTTATTCTGATTGGGTGTTTTTTGCTTTCTCATTTCCCAAATAGCTAATTTGTTCCAGGAATCCTCTACTCTACTGTTGATTCCCTGTAAATTATTCTTCATTT